TACACGGTTCAGGAATTCTGAGTCTAGGAGCATACTCGTGTGCGGGAGCTTGCCCATTGCCCACCGCACGTTGGAGTACTCGCAATTGAGCTCTCAACGCTTCCATTTCATCCTGCAGATCAGGAATGATTGCAGCAGCTTCCGTCATTGCTGCGCAAGCTCTTTGGCTTTCATCCAATTGGATGTGTAATCCACAAATCTCAGATTCGGCCATCTCGACTTTTTTCTCGAGACCTTCCACAGCATAGCACAACCTAGTAGCTGTCTCATCAAGCGCATCCACGCGCTGTTTCGTAGTACCCTTCTTTTGAGGCTCTACCACTTCAGTGGTGTGTGATGTAATTGGATCCATAGCTTTCTTATCGAGGCTCTTGAGCCGCAGCTCTGATACCAACTTTCACGGGGTGCCTTTCTTCTTGGCACAGAAAGGGACACCGTGCGGCAGTAGTCTGCTCCGCTAGACTACCTTCCGCCTTTTCTCGGTCGCGTCGGGACGAAAGAAAATTTGATTGCAATTTTGTAGAAAGCTTACAATTGAGAATTTGAATACACTGAAAGTAAATTGAACATTGATTGCTGAAAACTGAACATTACAATTGATGAAAGCAGAAAATTACAAATGCTGGTGCAGGGGGCGGACACCAGTGAGCTTGAAAGATTTTTGAATGACTAATATCCCATATAATAGCATTCTGAACAAAAACCCAAGTGACGGGAGTAGACGTTTAAAAGACGAGGAATCATACTAATCTTTTACCAATATCAAAGCTATTTTACAATTAAAATAACTATTACAATGAAACGAAAATTACAACTCAAACTTGAAGTAATATTTACAATGTGCGGCCGAAGTTGGGCAAACTGCGGCTGCGATAGTGTCAAGGGGCTAAGTAAAGCTGCGGTCCTTGACACCCTGGCTTGCAGTTGGAGTATTTGAGGTACTCACGTGATATTATTGGACATGAATCCAAAACACAGAAGAAAATGATTGTCAGCATGTCAACCCTTCACTATGTTTCTTTTGTTTATATTAATTTAAAGACATTAACAACTCATGTTCGACCAAAAAAACCCGAAAAAAAAGGATATGTTAAAGCATATGATTCTTTGGATTGATCAGGAGATTGAAATTATATTGCTGTCTCTTAACTTCATCTGTGCCTATTTCTGATATATGTGAATTGTGCATTTGTAAAGTTTAGATGATGGTAAACATCATTTATCACGAGAATTAATAAGTAAAAATTGTTTATATTTTGATATTGGCCACCTACAATGAATATATAAAATTCACGTGGATATAAAGTGTTTAAATTAATGGATTTAATAAGGGCAAGATTGGAAATGACATGGATGTAAATAGTATTTTTTTTTTTAATTTGAAATTTTATAAGAGATGAATTTAGAGTGTGATATACTTATAAAAAGCGTGGATGAAATAGTGGTACCCAAAGTAATTTAACAACTAATATTCATAACATAAATTAAATAGAGAATATTATTATATAAAAGAAAAGGACATTAATTTATAATAAACTGATATTAAAGCTAAAGCTATGATTTTATTTTCATATCCTCAAATAATTAACATTAGATAAGAGCACATTAAATTTTTGGCTCAATCATGTTTTTTCTCCAAATTAGAGGGAGAATGAGGGTTTATTTTGGAAAAATAAATCCCGTCTATTTTGAATAAAGCCCAACGTACAGGGTCATTTGCCAGGTGGTTTACAAGGTAATTTCAAATTATTTTAAATTGCCCACTTGTTGTCAATTAAAAAAAAAAAAAAAATAGAGGAGGAAAAGGCTTGTGGAGGGAAATGAAATGGGAAACCACTAGAAACCACGTAGATGCACTTAGAACTCCAAAATAGTAAAACCCGCAGCTCACTTTTCTATTTTTCCCCAAGCTTGAAATCTGGCAACTCCTACTTCGACTATCACCCCCTCGACTGCCATCCAACGAGCCATCTTCTCTACTTCCAACTATTTTTCACATGAGCCAAACTATCGACAATTGCCCTCGTTGCACCCATTGCGTTGAATTGAAAAATCCAAAAACTCGATCTACCAAGATATCTTCTCCACCTCCATCTATCTCCCACGTGAGGTAAACTTTCGACAATGGTTCGAAAGGCAAAAAACCCTCCAAGCCGTGACTTAGTTCGTAAGTGCATTAATCTCCATTTCCATGTCTTTTATAGGCCTATTTCCACTAGAAAGGATTATCGGTGTTCTCATTTAGATACTGTGATAATCTCCATTTTTTGATAATGTGATAAAATTTGTGATTATTTTGTTATCAATCTGCAATTATTTGGCAGAAATGTTTAGTGGGTTAATATCTATATAAAAATTGAATTTTTTTTAATATTTTTTTTATGTGTTTATTGTAGTGTATTGATTTAAGTATTGCATAATGGTACCGATTATTTTATCGTAGGAAAATAAATTATAGAAGACGTGCGTTATAATTTTTTGGCTTATTCTGAAAATAAGAATGTTGTTCAGAATATAAATATGGTGGAAGAAGAAGGTTTAGGAGATGAGGCTTCGATTGTGCCTGAGGTGGGTATGTAGTTCAAGGATGAAAAAACAATGTTTGAGTTCTACAAAAGATATGCATAAGATATAGGTTTTTAAATAGTGACGATGGAGTTATGAGATATGTGACCTTTACATGTAATCGTGAAGGTCGAAGAAGCATTGATGTTGTTGGTTCGTTGAAGTCTTAACCAACAATTTAGAAGGATTGTACAGCCATGATCTCTGCATCTTCTAATGTTAATGGAAATTAGAGAATTAACACAAGCCACCTCGAACACAATCATACAACAAGCCTTTCAAATTCTAGGTTTGACTGCTGCAATCGAAAATTGCCGGCACATGTGAAAATGAAGCTTGAAGGGAATTACATGGCAGGCATTCCGTTGCATAAAAATTTCAACTTCGCAGTTGTTGAAGCTGATGGATACGAGAATTTCACTTGTGTGGAAATTAGAAGCATTATGCTTGTATTTTTGAAAGTAATCGTCTCACTTCCAGTGAGACGATTAGGACTTGGAGAAGCAGCTACAATACAATCATATTTTTCGAAAATACAAGCACAATTCTTCTAATTTTACTTTTAGTATGGATTTCGATGATGAGCTGCGATTAAAGAATGTATTTTGGGCTGATAATAGATGTAGGCAAGGAGTTCGATGATATTGTCACCATTGATATCACTTATCTTATTAATAAGTACTACATGTCTTTCACTCATTTTGTTGGAATTAATCATCAAGGACAATCAACACTGCTCGATTGTGATCTTTTATCGCATGAGGACACGGATACATTTGTTTGGTTGTTCGGTACATGGCTAGAGTGCATGCATGGTAAGCTCTCCATGGAACCATTATAAACCAAGATAGGGCCATGCAAAATGCAATCCAAATCGTTTTTCCAAACACAAACATAAATTATGTTTATGACACATTTTGAAGAAATTGTCAGAGAAGTTTGGGTACCACATTGATAAGGAAAACATATTTTTGACTATACATAGATTGGTGTATGATTCGCAAACTGGTCCAAAATTTGAAGAAGGTTGTGGAGTGATGATTGATGCTAACAAGTTACATGATAATGATTGGTTAGTTGAACTATATGATAATAGAGATCATTTGGTTCCTTACTTTTGAAAACTACTTTCTGGGTTAGTATATCCACAACTCAGCGAAGTGAGAGTATGAAGTGCATTCGAAAACCTCGTATAAATAGTTTGTTGAACAATATGAACGAGCATTGAGAAATATAGTTGAGAAGGAGTATAAAGTTGATTTCAAGTCATGCTCGCAAATGATACCATGTGTAACAAATTATGAAATGGAGGTTTATGTTTTATTTACGTTACTATTGTATGTACGGTGATGTCGAAAATGATGTGTTTAACCAACAATACCCATCTTCCAACTTTATGCCCCATCGTCACGTAATATTATATTTAATTAGCAAGGTAAATACATGTTCGAATGATTATAATTCATTTTTTTAATTATTTCGTAACGTTGTATTAATGTTCATTATATACGGGTGATGGAATGCCTTATTACTATCCAAATTTAATAGAAGAAGGTGGCAAAGGCTTGTGAAAGGTTAAGTTTCGACCTTTAGATTGGCATAACAACAAACTTAGAAACATTTGCCAACTTGTAACAGGCTTAACTCAATAGAAAAAAATTTGGTGGATGCCATTTTTTATTCAGTCCAACCTGCAACCATCAATGAAATTAAAAACTTGTTCAAGGCCTACGCCAAGCATATTGTGACCGAGTCAATATCTTGTGATGCCATGCAATTAGATAGGAAAATCTGGATTTTGGGAGTGAATGAAATTGTTGTAATTAGCTTTGTGATCTGATCTACAAACTATGTGATAATTTATTATCTAGAAGTCTACCTTCACTTCAAAGGACGTGGTTTTTTCTGTTGTTTATGTATGAATTCTTCAAGCATTTTATGTTCAGGGGACATTTCTTAAGCACAATTGCACATAGCAATTGAAATAAAAATGAGATGCAACCATAATATTTAAATGACTGCACAAGTGGATTAATTCACATAGTTTACAAACTACAAAACACATAACGTAGTTGTGAGTTATTGTCACATTGCAAGTATAAAGTTCCCTCCTAATATTCGTAGGTAGACGAATATAAGTCGAATTAACCCATTTGAACAACAACACCAATCAAGCCAGTCCCTTCCTTTTTGCATTCCCTTTTCACGCCACCTTTTCTTTTGCGGATTGTCACATTCACAGAAATATGGAGCTCTTCGTCATCATTTAGCCTAACTTGAGATTGGAACGTGCGGGTCATATCTTCAATTGCTTCCATCGTCGTAGGTTTAGTCGAGGTAGCGCTAACGCTACTACATTCACCTTACATTTGACCTTTTCCATACCAATCCCAAAATCCATATTTTTCACTGCAACACTTGAATAATCTACCTCTAATAGAAGTCTCATTCTTCACCTCAAAGCACTTCTGATATCCATGCTTACACAATGGGCATCGGACTTTGATCGGGCATTCGACAAAGAAGTGCCCTTTGCCTCTACAACTATGATAGATGCCTAAATTTTTCCCTAGCATTCTAGTACTTAAATTAGCCTCAAACAATCAATCAATTTTGATGTTGACGCACTAACTAAACGGGAAATCCTATAAATAATGTATAAATTACAAATAACGTATTATTGAGAAATATGAATTGCCTGAGATATTATATAAAATTAGATACCGGATGCAAGGACATGAAATAAAAAAATTGGATTTTTTAGAACAACCATGGAAATGACAATAGGAAGATGAAA